TGTGTGTGGGTTAAAATATTTGGTAGATGAGGAAATACCAGAACTCCTGAAAATATAGGTAATCATTTGGCTTGAATGAGAAGTTGAAAATAGATACAAGGCTACTGGTACCAAGGCTGCCAAGGGAATGTGGAAAAAGGAAAGATCATGTTCAGAATAAGGGTCACAGAGTGGTTTTGCATTCTTGTAGCAGGAACAGTGATGTGTTCAGCTTGGTTGTCATCAGGTAGATGAGAAGCAAAGTCATTAGAAGGCTGTGATTTTCTAGAACTTTCCTCTATAGGGTTTAGGACTATAGACACAGACACCAATAAAATGGTTTGGATTCAAGAGATGTTCTAAGGTTTAGAATATCTACAAAGCTCTAGTTACTATATTTGGTAAAAGTGACAATGTAACTCAGTAGAAATGATCCATATAAAGATTTCAGGACAATTTGTTACTCACATAGGAAAAGCAGTTACGAACATTTAAGTCCACATGTATTAAAAATTGAAATGTCAAAATTAAAACATAAAAGTACAAATTAAACAAAAGTAGATGCACATAATCTTGCAGTGAGGAAAGATTTTCAAAACTTGAGATAGGCAAAAAATCTTCAAAAAAGAATATATAATTTACTACCAAAAATTTCTCATTTCTATCCATTAAAATAATCTTGAAATTTAAGTACAAACAATAATCTGAAGGAAACAGAAACACACACACACACACACATTATATATATATATATATATATATATATATATATATATATAAATATAATGTATACATATACACATTATACAGATGTGTATATATACATATAGTATGTATATATTATATATAATATGTATATATTATATATGTGTATATATGCATTATATATATATAATATATTTATATATACACAAACATACAGTGACAGGATTACCAGTTGCACTGTTAAGAAAGTTTTTAAAGTAGTGCAGTAACAAATAGGCAAATGTCACAATACGCAAATCAAGCATCTATAAATCGATAATCAAAATTTTTTATGTTAATGAAAATATTTGATATTACTTAATATATGATAAAAATAAATGTTGACTATATAAGGAAATACTCATTTCACTAATAATCAAAAAAATTGAAAAAATAAATCATGGGTGCTCTTTTTTCCTAACTGTATTACAAAGAGAAAAAAAAGAAAATATTCTGCCTTGATAGAATTTCTGGAAACGTGTGATATCTGAATTTATTGATGAAAGTAGAAATTAATGTGCAAGATTTACAGTAAAATTTGGCAGCATGCATCAAGACCCCTAAAAAAGTTCAATCTTACAAGTCACCATAGGGAGATCCTTAGGCTTTCAACATAGAACATGTAGCAATGATGTAAAACCTCATGATTAAACATAAAACATTCTGAATGTCCAACAATAAGAGCATCTAGGTAAATTTTAGTACATTCACATAATGAATAGATATGACATTATTAAAATTATATTTACTTAAAACCACCATCTTAATTCAGTGTGATCTCAATGCTATAAACATAAATGTACATGGAAAAGGGAAAAGAGGCAGAGATGTAATGAGATGAAGTTAACAAAACGAAGGGATGAGAGTCACAAAATAGTAATAAAGGTGATTTCTGGTTAAACAGAAGTATAATTTTTTCCTTAATAATATCTACATTTTTCAAATATACAGTAAGTATGTATTAAAATCAATGAGAATAAATTTTATCAGTCATATATAATACGATATGAAATCTTTGCAAAAATACCTAAATCTAAGCATGGAGTGGTTTCTTTTTTAATTTTGACTTTGATTTTAGATTCAGGAGGCACATTTGCAGGTTTGTTACATTGGTATATTGTGTGATGCTGACGATTGGGGTACAATTGATCCAGTTACTCAGGAAGTGACCATGGTACCTAACAGGTAGTTTTTTCAGGCCACACCTTCCTTCCTCCTTCACTCCTTTTGTAGTTTCTAGTGTTGGTTGTTTCCATCTTTGTGTCCATGTGCACCCAATGCTTAATCCCATTTATGAGTGAGAACATGCAGTATTTGGTTTTCTGTTTCTGCATTAATTCACTCAGGGCAATGGCCTCCAGCTGCATCCAGGTTGCTGCAAAGGGTATGATTTTGTTCTTTTTTATGACTAAAAGTATTCCATAGTGTATATGTACCAGAGCCCTTAATTTCTACTCATCTCAGCTTCTCATTTAATTTTCTTCTCACTCAAGTCACTTATATATGAAGGATTACCAAGCAAAGAAACTACGGTTCTTAGACAATAGAAAATATTCCTGTGGAAACGCCATTATCACTTTTACCTACAAAATTAAAAAATCAAAACCTGCTTTCTAACAAAATAAATGTTAATTTATGAACTCAAACATATCACTCATTTATTGAACAAGAATCATAGATTATAATAAATGCAACAAATTAGAGGCCTTTGAGAGTAGAAAATAGCTTATAAGAGGTTTCAGTTGTATCCAAAAGGTAGCTAAAGCCAAATGTATTAAAAATAATTTGAAGGTTTAATATAACGGACTTTCCTTTCATTTAATCACTTAAGATATGAACATTCCACTAAAACACATTTTTAAAACATCACATTTCCAAAAACTTTTTTCTACTTTAACCTTTACAAACTCCATTGAAACCATATATACTTATTTTCTAATTGCTGTTTTCCCTTCATTCTACATCTTATATATTGTAAATAATGAATAATTATAATTCTATATAATCCATTAGAAAAATCGGTATCATAATTTTAGAGAGAAAAAAGAGGAAATTTAAGTGGGGAAATGTTTTGAAGGCAATGAGTAAAGCATATTTTGAAGTGCAGGCTTTCTGATTTCTGGCATAATGCTCTATACAATCAATAATACATCTCACCAAGTAGTAGTAACATGAAATGATTATGACCAAAGTTATTTTAAGCTGTCTCTCTGGTGGAAATACTGCATTTCGTACTTTCATACTGAGGTGAAGGTTTTCAGATTCAGAAAGAAACGTGTTATTCTGATGTGCTACCTAAAAACTTAAAAACTGACAGTGTCTAGATGAGTGCTTATAAAAATCATGGACATCCCTTTGAAGATCTCCCAGGATCCTCCCAAAATGATCAAGGCCAAAGTGGGGATGACAGTAGTCATGATACCACCAAAATGAGGTCATACTCAGGACTCTGCTTAGTGAGCTTATTTACTATGAGACAGGAATGTTACATTTGTATTTTCTATTTTCCAGAGCACAAATCTGTAACTGAAATTAAAAAGAGCAAAGATGAGTCAGGAAAAAAAAATGCATACCGTAACAGTCACAAGTCGTATTAATTTCTTCTTCCCATTGTTTATGGAGATTCCAAAACCACTATTGCCATTTCCTTTCTTGTCCCCTAAAATAAAATAAAAAAAACAATAAAGTTCTACGGACTTAAGCAATTTTTCCAGGTTCCTTTTATGCAATTATCCTATGGGTTTCAGAGATAATATTTGTATTTGTTTCAATAATGTCCTATTATTTTTATAAAAGGAACAATATGTCTCTTATGCCTAATGAAAAGGGCTGTCCTATTGCCAACTGTCCACATGCTGTCTATTAATATCTATGCTGAGCTTTCTGGGGTCCCTATTTGAGATCCTGATTTCTATTGTACAGCCCCTTTACTTCTTGATTTTAGCTACTCTTGTTCTTAATTTTGTCCTGTTTCATCTCAAGTATCCCTAATTCAGAAGCCTTTTGTGGGAATGACCTTGACTCATACCTTCACTTCTGATTTCTTTCCTAATAATAATGTAGATCATATTTCATCCTCTAGGCTGGATCTTGGATGTGTGAAAATGGAGAAAAACATGTAGAATTAAAATACAGATGTTTGTTGTGTAAGAATTAACTAAATAAGATTTTGTATTTGGTAATTATTTTTAGAAGAAAAGGTATGATTATATAATCCAGTATGGTCAGTGCTACAACTTTGTTGTTCTGTTACACTGCTTCAATTTGAAAGTCAAATCAATTCTCAAAAAAATGAGTATATTTAGATATCATAAAATTGTGATCAAATTTATTTTAATGATAAACATCTTGTCAACCAGGAAAAAAGACAGTTATTCAAAACTTGGACACAATGTTATGGCATGACTCAGATAGACTGTATCCTTATAGTTTATGAAAATTATGTAAGAAAAAAATGTCCAAAGCATAATTGCATAAAATCTAATGAATAGAAATATGTCTTAAAAAAATAGAGCCTAGTTAAGAATAGTTAAACCTAGGAACAGATCAGATGTAGGCAAACTTAAGGGAGAAAATAATAAAACAAGAAGGAAGGTCAAAATTTACAATTCAAGGAATCTGAGAGGCACTTTTCTCTTCTTCTTCTTAAAAATCTCATTGGACTGACAGAAGGAAAATAAAAGTACAAATATATTCATAGCCCTAATAAAGAGCTGAGACACAAGTCATTAGCAAGTATAACATGGAAGAATTTCTGAAAATATAAGGTAGACATAAGAGAATTAAAAGAAGCCCATGAAAATATAGGAACTTAAATCTACTCAGTGATCAAAAGGACTTTCTAAATATCGAGTTATTAAACAAAAATCTTATAATCACCCTAGGAACAGAGTGATCAAGATATAAAAGTACAAGTAGATTTTGATTTTGTCATTAGGTTTGCAGTGAAAGAACTGCAAACCAGTTGTATCAGATTTCAGCATAGCTGCCAATAGCTTTTGCCCTTGGGCAGTAAGGTGGCAAGTGGACATGAGATTTGCCAAACAAGTTTTTGGGGCTGGAGATAAAATCAAGCAGAGGCCCAGATTAATTCTGGACACAATAGTATATGTACAGCATGCACCAAGAAAGTAAACTGCCTCAACATCCTAAAGAAAACTGACAGTTAGAAAATTTCATACAACACTCTCATTCCCAATAATCAGAATGAAGATTTCTAAGATTATAACTCAATTCATTACTGTAGAAAGAAATTGTACTTATGCAGATGATACTTGCTCCATCTGTCAATAATATTCATTCTAAGTCCTCATTAAAAAAGATGGACAATGAAGAATCTACAATATATAAGGAAACCAATAGATGCATTGTAAATATCCAGTTTAAGGAACAGAAGAATTAACCCTTGAAGAAATAGCTAATATAGAAAATAAAATATAATTGTGTAATCATTATAGTTAGTAATGTTCAATATTCAGAAACATTTAAAAATATTCAAAGTATATTGGGACCCATGATGCTGTGTACACCAAAATAATATGAAAAGATTTTTTACTTACACAACTGGACTTTCTGGGGAGAGTAAGGCAAGTTCAAGCTGGTCTAACTGGCTGGCAGGAGCAAAGTTGGATTTGGTTTTTATTGTAGCTAGGAAGTGGGAGCAGAACCAGGGTGCCCAGGAATAGTTTGGCATAATTATTGGTTTTTAACTGTGAACAATGATAAAATTTGCATACTTCCACTTCTTCCCACATCTTTTCTCACTTTTTTGCTATTCAATTTTGTATTATTCTTTGTTGTTCCAGTATTTACTTTGTATCTCCAAGCATATTTATAGCTTGGCTATTTGATGTATCAGTTGTAAATCATATTGTTTAATCCCTGGCTATAAAGAATGGAGGAACTCTACCCATATACTATATCTCTCCTAATCCCTCCTTTCTCTCACTTTCTTTATTAGTTACATTATTTTTACATTGTCCTCATAGAAGCCATTTAAATTGTGTTCAATAAGAATAATTCATATATTTGTTTCCATCTCTCCCCTTCAGGACTGAATCCAATGATGGCTAGCCGTCTTTTCATCACTGTTTACTCAGTTTTCTCCTCTTTGGCTGAGGAACAGTTTTCTTTAAAAAGAGTCTGTGGAAATTTCATTCCTTTAATTCTATATACATATATCCTTCATAGGTGAATGGTGATTTAGTGTGCATAACATTTTTAGAAATTTTTGCTGAGGAATTTGGGGACATTACTCCACATCCTACGTGGAATGTGTATTTTAAAAAGGATAGCTTTTACTGCTATTTTATTTCCCCACTGGTGTTATGCTTATTTTTCCTAGGTACTAAAAATAATTTTCCTAATATTTGGCAAAATCATTACCAGGCTTGTCTCACTATTAATCATTCTGCATGAATTTTTTCCCTAAGACACGGTTTATCATTTGAACCTATAAATTCAAGTTGTTTATGTGTGAAATTTCTCCCTGAAATATGTTGTTAGATGTTTATTTTCCCTTCCAATTGTCAGGTTTATTTCTTTGGGGACATTAATTATATTTAACATAGAACCCTTTGTCTTCCATACATACAGTTTATTTCAAACCCTTTAAAATTTGTTCATTTCCATTCCTTTTCACTCATGCTTTTTTCAATCTTGCCTTTTATGACTGTCATTATATTTCCATGATATTTATTTTCATATATGTCACTGTGTCACAGTCAATGTTAACTTCCTTTCTAAGATTATCTTATTTTTATCCTCTAAGTATTCCCTGGCTCCTGTTTCTCATGCTATTTCTATGTCTGTGATTGCACTGTATCTCCCTAAGCTTTTGTTTCTCTGCCATGAATTTATGATGGTTTCATTGAGTTGTGCTCATTCACACTGATATATTTAATCACAGTTTATTGGATCACGGAGAATTTTTTTCCATAAGTTTTCTTTTTCCATTTATTTTTGCATACGTTTCAATCTTGACTTTTCCTTCCTTTCTCCATGTAGTGTAATTGTACTGGCTCCTTTATTGATAATTACTTGTCTTTGAATGCAAAGAAATCTTTCTGTATCAGCATTTTTCACATTATTATTAGACAGGAACTAAAGTAATATTACAAACTATCAAGAATTCTCCGTGGGTTATAACATAGGATTGTCTGCATGTCCAAGATGCTTTAATTTTATTTCTTCTCATTAAAAAGACATTTAGAGCTATTGTCCTACATAGAAAAGCTTCCTCCATCGCACATTTCCAGTGCACTTACTCTTCCTTCCTTGTTACCCATGGGACAAAAAAACCAGAATCTTATAAAGGTTTCTGCCTGAAACACATACCTGTTTCTTGAAACAAAAGGTTGTTGTTGCTTCTCAGTGTAAGAACTGCTCGGTCAGCTTGATTCAAGACTTGTAGCCATAAAAGACTTTCTTAGCATCATTCTTGCCCCCGTGGCAGTGCTTTTTTATATCTGATTGTTATGAGTAAGAGGTGTCTTTAGTTTAACAAAACGTAGATCTTGCATTCCTGTTTCTTGAGTTTTTGTTGTTGTTATTGTTGTTTTCTGAAATAGAGAAGAGGACATGATAAAACAGACTATCTCCAAGCTCATGTTATTCAGGAATGACCTCAAACACAATTAAGCATGGGATATAAAAACACTGAAACCAAGTTGTTTTTATACAAGAAAGTTTGTTGCTGTTTCATTTAATTATTTGCTTCTAGATTTAAGAAAACTTTGAGTAATATAGTCTTTAGACTTTCTTTTAACTACTCTTACTGTGTGATCCCATGAGAAGCAGGCTGCTATAAGAGATCAAAATTCAAAATGTCAGCAGTGACCCACAGAGCCCTGATGCCCAGTGAGGCATATTACTAAGTACTCTTAATACATTGCTGCTAAGGATATTAATAAGAGCAATCCCCATGAATTTGAAACTGGCTCAATCATCCCATAGAAGTGAAGTTTATAGTTTCTTTTGAATAAACATAGAAATTTATCTTCCCAGTTTTAAAACTTGAAAAAATTACATTTGTCTTGTCTGAGTTCCTTTCTCAGAAAACCAACCCTTAGGCCCCCTACACAGCATCAAAGAAGTGAAACTTACCAGATCACAGCATCTGGACAATGAGACACCAGACCACTCACTCATCATGATTGCCTATCCAACCACCTGCTTCCTGTTGACCAACTCCTCTCCCTTAGCACTCTCTAATTCCTGTTGACCCACATGTAGTTATATTCCTTCCTCACTATATAAACTCCCAGTTTTAGTAGATCAGGGAAATGGATTTCAGACTGATATCCTATCTCCTCAGCTGCAGCACCCAGTTAAATAAACAGAATTCTCATTGTCTCATGATTGTCTTTCTATGTGGAAAGCAGCAGGACTTAGACCAAACTCCTGGTTTTTCAGTAATAAATTGATGGGTACTACATACCAAATATTAAAATGCATACTACATACTTCACGTTCACAATCTTGTTTAAAACTTACAATTACTATATGGAGTAAATACTATATTATCATTTTACAAAAGATGAAAATCAAGGCTTAGAGAAGTCTGGTAATGTTCCCAAGCCCATATAGGAAGTAAATAGCCTAGCCAGAATCAGAACCCTGTTATACTCCAAGGCCTGTAATCCCTATCACTTACTCTACAGAATATCCAAATGTCTTTTAATTATTTTCAAAGTTGCTTCCATTATTCCAGTCATATGGAATCATAAAACATAGACTTGAAAGTCATCCTTGATTTCTGGGAGACTTTATTCCATAATATTAGCCCCGCCAAATATAAATGTAAAATTGATGTCCTAAAACAGTGAACTTATCTCCTAAAGTGGCCCAAAGAAAGAATTATATTTTCTCCTTACAGTAAGGATAAGGAATCATCCTGTGTTTCCAACAGTGGCTTAGTTCTGTTCATTGGGTCTATAATGGTAAAAGAAAGAATAGGTATATAGATACGTGTGTGTGTCAATATGCCTGTGTGTATATGTAGATATCCACGTGTGTGTCTGTTTATTTTAAACACATACAGATGTTATATATGTAAGCAAGAATTTTATTTTCTCTTGTTTGAACATCTCTAGTTCCTTCAAATATTATTTACATCTGAGGTAATCCACATAGTTGACATCAGAAAACTTTTGAGAATAGAAAGGGGCATTAGCCAGGACATACACTGGGTAGACAGGAGCAAACTAAGACAGTTCCAGGCACACTCATATGTCCTACCTAATCATAGGTGTAGTATTTCTTTTTGTTGTTTTTTTTATAGACCACAAACTCAGGTCTACAAAAAATGTACAATACCTTATCTACAATTAAGATATCTTCACTATATATACAATGAACTCCTAAAAATTGGCAAGAAAAATATAATGACAGTAGAAAAATAATAAAATGCTTTGAATTGGTAAGTTACAGAAGGAAAAAAATAACAGATATGTTAACAAATGCTCAAACTTCCTAGTTGTTAGCAAAGTACACCATAAAATAGCTGTGAACTCTTGTTTTACATGTACCAAAATGACAAAAGTTTAAAAAAGGATTTTAATACCTACTGCTGGTTGGGATCTATGACAATTCACATTGTGGGTGGAAAACATAAATTGTTAAGTTCTTTGGAAAATAAATCTAGCAACATCTACTATAATAACTTTACACATAATTAGCAATCCCACTCCTAGATTTCTATCCCACAGAAATAAAAGTACCAGTACCTAAAAACTTACATCCAAGAATTTTTATCACAGAATTATTTGTAGTTATAAATATATAAAAACAAAATGATCACACAGTAATTAAGAGAACGGTTACATAAATTATTGTAGAGTCCCACTATATAATATGAAACAATGAAAAACATAATTATAATTCAAAATTTGTTTTGAGTTGCTTTCCATAAGGTATTGTTGAATGAGATGTCCATTGTGAAGTCCAAAGAAAGTTCTAGGGTCTGAGTAATTGTTATTGTGACACTATAAAGAAAAATAAAATGAAAAAAACAAAAACAAAAACAAGCTTGGCACACTTGTATCTATCTAACTAAAACACTGTGAGAGTATCTGCTCATATGAGGTTCAGCAGCATGAGCCAAAGTACAGATGGTTACCTATCAAGTTGTTAATATAAATTATGAAGGTACTGAAGTGAAGGTTTATGTGGACAGAATGAGAGACAGTGTGGGGGGTCAGAATGAGGAAGTAAGTAGCATAGTAATTCATAATAAAAGTCATGCAGAACTTATAGCTATCTCTCAAGTTACAGACTTCCATGATTTAATATTGCAAGGAAATGTATGCACTACATTCAGATTTCGGTTGAAAGAAATAGCTTGAACTTCTCTCTCTAAACATTCTAAATATAAAATACTTGTGTATGTATATGTAAGCAGGTAGAAAAGTGTTCCAAGACATCCACAAAATTGTTAACATTAAACAGCTCAGAGGATGAGAGGTAAATATTATTTGACTTAATAAAACTTGTGCTACTTTTGGGCTATTTTATACTAACTGTTACCACAAATATGTATTACCTGTGTAATTTGAAAACCATTTCAAAATATTAACTCTTTGTTAAATTCTGGAAATACATTCTAGCAATATTGCAGTCCTTTAGGTTAACTATACTGGAATCTACATCAGTGACCCCTATGCCACAGTGCAGATGCCCTCAACCATGTAGTTACATATTTCCTCACTAAAACACTGGCATACTTCCATATATCTACCAATCTTTAAGAAACCTTCCTTGGTTTTTTGGTTGAAGAGTAGTGTTATGCCACTAAAATCTGAGTGTCCACTATTTTTTTTATCTCCCTTGGTTCAAAACTAGTTTTTCTTCTCTTCCCCTGCTTTCCACATAACTACACATCATGCTGAGAAACAGGTTTTAATTTGTATTTGCTTCATCATTATTTGTTAGTGGATCCAAGACTCCTCTTCCAAAGTAGACTATCTGGATTATTTTTTAGTGGAAAAGCTTCATAAATTATGGAATACAAATATGCTGAGCATATCTACCTTGAAAATATGACTGGGTCTAAAGGAAAATTTACTCCTGCATAATAAGGGTCTATAGACTCTTCAGAGGCCACCTTTGAGAAATTAACACTCATTCCAAATGTATATATTCCAGAGTTCAGTTTTGCTGTAAAAGAATAAAGAATAACTTTACCTCTGGTAACACCAAGAAAAAACTGGAAAATATTTGAAAACTATACCAGTCTTTAGGGTTATTTATTAGTGGCAGATGCAAGAAAGACTTGATTAACTGGTTTCCATTAAAATATTTATAGGCAATCAGCTTCCTTCCATAGCTCTGGGCAAACACTAGGTCTAGGACTAGACAGACCTTCAAAAAATTCAGAAAGTATACCAAGTTTAGAAGAGATGACACAAGATATTGACAACTGTTAAACAGGCAGGAATACAATTTATTTATTTATTTATTTATTTATTTATTTATTTATTTATTTTTGGTATAACACTTCTGCTGATCTCATTCCTCTTCAGTTTTGCTGAAGTAATAAAGGCAATAATGCTGAGACTGAAAGACAGATATAACTTACATATTTGAAAAACTAACACTTCTTCTAATAGTTTCAGGAACTGTAAATGTGATGGCAATACCTCTCTAGACCCCACATTCAAGCTCTAATAGAACAGATTAGCTGTTCCACAGCAGCGGCAGCTGCCAGCACCAAGTTGCAGCCACAAAACTGGATGTCTTGGACTGGACTAGCCAGAAATGAGCTTAATCTTAAAGGTTTAATTTGGTTGATTTCAGACATTTAACAACTAGTACAATTTAAATGATTAATTTCTCACTTTAACTAACAGACACAAATAATGTTCATACACTCTGGGGAAGCACAGCAAAACAATAGTGTACTCTGACCTTCCTGGTTCTTCTACACACAATGTCCAACATGCAGTATAACAATTATACACTATGTGAAAAATGAAAAAACTGGACTTCACAATGAAGGAAAAAAAATCAAAAGCATCAAACTCACAGATAAACTACATATTGTAACTCACAAACATGAACTTTAAAATAACTATCTAAATAAGTACAAGAATTGACAGAAACAGAAAGTATAGATAAACAGATGGTGAATCTCAACAGAGAAAATAAAACTATTAGAATATAGAAACTGTCATCCGTAATACAAAATGAGATTAACACAAGAAATAAACTGAAAAAGAAACAATCGGTGAATTTAAAGACAGGTCAATAGATGTTATCTTAAAGGAAGTACAGTGGGAAAAAAAAATAAAAGTAACTGATCAGAAAGCCAATTATCAGTGGGAAAATACAAGGCAATCTAACATATGCATAATTAGAAAATATATCCTAGTTAACTGAAGTTTATGCCAAGAATTCAAGGTTATATTAACATTCAGAAATCAATGAATGTAATGTATCACATTAACAAGAATAAAAAAGATAAATCACATTGTTGTTTATCAGATGCAAAAAAAGCATCAGACAAAATCTAACACTCATTAATGGTAAAATTTCTCAGGATCTAGAAATAAAACTCTCAATTTAAAAAATTTGATTTATCTCTGAGTAACTTTCAGCTGACATCACACTTATTGATGAAATATTAGACATGCACCACCACTAAGATTGGAGACAAGGAAAGCTAAGTATACTTTTTTTGTTTTTACCATTTTCATTCAACATTGTATTTTTAAAGGTCCTAGTGATTGCCTTAAAGTAAAAATAAGGAAGAAAGAGAGTGAGCAAAGGGCCAAAGAAGAAAGAGGGAGAAGTAACAAGGGAGGAAAAAATAAGTATATTTTTTCTCAGAAAACAAAATTATTTACATTTAGAAAAATTAATATATTAAAAATTCTAGATGTAATAGGTAAATTCTACGAGGTCTCAGGATTTAGGATCAATACAAAAATATATTTTATTTCTAAAAATTAGCAAAAAAATTGTAAAATAAAATTTAAAAATCAGAATCATTCATAATATTACCAAAAATACACCACTTAGGACCATAGCTAATGAAAGTTGAGTAAGACCTCTACTCTGCAAACTAGAAGACTTCTTGAGAAAATTTAGAGATGACCTAAATAAATATTGTAAAGATATAAATTATCCCCAACTTAAAGACAGTATGCAATTTCAATCAATATCTGAGCAGGCTTTTCTGCCATTACTGAAAAACAAATGCTAAAATTTCTATAGAAATATAATAAACCTAGATAGAACAGTCAAACATTATTGAAAAACAAAGAAAATTTGAGGATTTGTACCATCTGACTTCGAGACTTA